CGGCGAGCCGGGAGGGGTTCCTCCCGGCTGTGTGACCTCAGCCTCTCTAGTCCGAGGGGAAAAAAAAAGGAAAAAAAAAAAGCGTCCCATAGGACCCATGCCTGGGTCCTATGGGACAGCCCACCTAAAGTTGGGCGTGCACGCAGGCACGCCAACCTGCAGGGTATAGCCCTGCAGGCAAATGGCTTGCCTGCCTGCACGCCATTCTGCAATGACGTGCAGGTGCCCACGCCAATCTGCAGTTGGCGTGCAGATTGGCGTGCACGTGGGGGGTTGGCTTGCGCTTATCAACCCCCGCATCAAACAAACGTTCAACAGATCTATTGCCCCCCTCCCCTCCGTGTCAATTACATCAACCAAGACCATGTCGGACGCAGTTCCTCCACCCAGAGGCCAAGAACAACCCGCCGCCAATTCCACTTGTGACTCCACCCACACTGCCAACGGATCCGACATTAGCAGGGCCAAAGAGTGGTTCAAGGCTGTGCTCAAGATCCAACATTCAGCTATCTCACAGGCTCAGGAAGACCGCCACCAGGCCTTAGAAGGTCGTCAAGCAGATTGGCAAATTATTCTTGCCGCTCATCAAGCCAGTGCAGATTGCATTGGCCAATTGGAGGACCTACTTCTTGTGATGAATATCAAGACGAAGTCAGCGTGCAAGCCAAACATCCAGCGCCTGGCCAAGTTGACTTGCAGAAATTCCGTACCTCCAACCGTCTGACTTATCGCAGAACATTGCAGGAAACTGAACCATTCTTGCGCTGGATCCACGGTGTCCAGATTTTTTTTGAAACAAAGAGTGTCAGAAATGTGGCCAACAAGATAGATCCTTGGAAATCTGCTGGCAGAGACCAACCTGCAATCTTTCTACGCAAACAAAGCGTTGGGCTTCCTCAACAAATTCTGGGAAGAGTTCAAAACCCAAATGTTCAATTTTGCCCTCCCTAATAATTGGCGCTCTGGACTCCAACATCAAATCCGGAAATTGGATATGTTGTTGACTGAAACCTTTCTGGAATACAGCAGACGGGCTCAAACCTTGCAAAGCCTATTCAACTTCAACTCCAAGAAGTTCTCCAAGCTTGGGGACCTCCAGCTGGCTCAATTTGTCTTGTATGGCCTACCCAACGCCCTTCAAGATAGGATGAACAAGCGCCAGCTCCTGGAGGCATCCCCTTTTGCGTACAGACAGTTCGAGAAGCAGGCAAATGCATCATTCCTTGTGTTACATTGCCCCATGGAATTGCCACCGCTGGCCAAGTCAAATCCCAACGCACCACCAACGCTAGGCCGCAACGAGTTCATATGGCAAGTCCATGCGTATCTAGACTTGCAGGGACTCTGCCACTTCTGCAAGAAACACTGCAGGAACGCCACAGGGTCCTGTCCCGGACCAATTGAACGCTCTCATATCAACATCCCTAACAACTTTCAAACACCCATCAAGCCACCTAATTACATTGCCCCCTGCGCCTGGGGCAAGGAAGTTCAACCAACTTCTCTTGAATGAAATTGAGAAAGTCACACAAGCTGACTTGGCAGATCACATTGCGGGCCTCTAGGGACTCCATATCCTCATATTATAATCTTGTTTCCTCTTTTTTCCTTTTGTCAGCCTGGGTGATGCCAAGAGCTAGACTCTTCTAGCTACACCAGGTACAAAGCTAAGAAGAGTGGTGTACAAGTGTGGGTAACACTTGGAATGGGGAGGTGTTTGATTTTAAGAAAAGAAATAATAAAAACTATGGAACTTTTAGGCGCAGAGGTGTTCTTTTAAAAGAACCACGAGTGTAAGACACTACACGAGCTGACTGAGAAGAGAGACAAACGGCGAGCGCACCTATGTGCAATGGTTTGTGAGTTGAGACAGAAAAAGAACACTGAATGAGGAAAAGAGAAAAATAGAAAAGCAGTACATGATTTACTATTTAAGCTAAGACTCATTAGGTTTCAACTTAAACTATCACTAGACAAACGCTTGCGGAGTATGCTACTAAAGAGGGAAATTATAATATCCCAATACCCCCCCTTGCTCAAAACCGGTTATGTTGAGCTTGATGATTGAGTTGATGTGCTTCTTCTTTGCCAGCGCCTTGGTGAGGAAATCAGCTAATTGATTGTTGGTAGGAACGTATTTAGTTTCAGCCTTGCCTTCCCCAATGAATTCACGGATCCAATGATTCTTGATGTCAATATGTTTTGTCCTTTGTTAATACATCGGATTGTTGGCGAGAGCAATGGCTGATTGATTGCCGACAAAGAGGATGAGTTTGTTGGAGAGTTGAACTTTGAGAGACTTGAGTAGAATGAGAAACCATTTGGCTTCTTGACCAGCTTTGAATAGTGAGATGTATTCAGCCTTGGTGGTGGATGCCGCAACCACCGGTTCTTTCCGGGATTTCCAAGAGATCACGGAGTTCCCAAAGGTTGCGATGTAACCCGAGTAGGAGTGGCGATCGTCGGTATTGTTGGCCCAGTCCGCGTCGGAATAGACATTCAACACATCTGCGCCCGAGCTGCCATCCAGCAGAATGCCATGACCCCTAGTGCCCAAGAGGTAGCGCATGAGATGAACAACAGCTCTCCAGTGGGTGATTCCAGGCAATTCAAGATGTTGAGACAGTTGAGAAAGATCAAAAGCTATGTCGGGGCGAGTTTACACCGCCAAGTACATGAGCATACCGATTGCCTGACAATAGTTGACTCCAATTTGAGCAAATTGTTCACGCTCAGCTGGAGTTGACTTTAAGAGGTGAGTGTTTGGAACCATCGCCACGGAAATAGTGCGGACATTGAGGAGATTGTGATTGATGAGTATTTTCTTGAGATACGCCTCCTGAGAAAGATAGATCTTCTTCTTGTCTATTTTGTCGACCTTCACACCAAGTAAGTGTTTGAGTTCTCCGATGTCGTCCATTTTAAAGCAAGCCGTGATCAATTTCTTAAACCTATCCACATCCGGGCTGATGATAACCATGTCATTGACGTAGATGTGGACAAAGCATTCCCAGTCCTCTGATTGACTGAGGAACAAACAAAGATCAGCCGGAGACTGTTGGAAGTTGATTGAGTCAAAGAAACTCTTGAGTTCAGAATACCAGACTCAAGGGGCTTGAAGGAGACCATAAATAGCCTTTTTGAGTTCAAGGCAATGCCCCTCTGGGACACAAAGACCGGCGGGCGCTCTGAGATAAACATCCTCCTCTAGCCTTCCATTGAGGAACACATTTTTCGCATCCATCTGGTGAATTTGGTGGCCACAAGCAAGTCCAGTCACAAGAGCCGTGCGTAGAGCCGCAAACCTACCTGTTGGGGCGTAAGTTTGAAGAACGTCTTCATTGGCTTGAAGCAATCCTTGTGCACAGAGTCGGGCTTTGAACTTGGAGACTTCGCCGTTTTCGTTGAGCTTTTTGCGAAAGACCCAGATAGTGCCAAGCAATTGGTGATCGTGAGGAATCCAAACAATTTCCCACACGTCGAGATCCACCATGGCAGAGAGCTTGAGATCAATAGCTTGACGCCACTGAGTGGCGTCACCCGATGCCACTGCTTGGTTGTACGTCTGTGGGACGCCAATGGAAACATAGGCAACCGGGTGAAGACCAAGTTCTTCAGGAATCTCGTCAAGAGTGAGGCCTTCAAAGTAGTCCATGATGGCGAGATTAGCCCGTTGTTTGTGGTGGATGATATTTGACTGGTCAATGTTGGATGAGATGTCCTTAGGAGCCTTGTCAGAGGTGAGAACAATATCCCAATCAGTTTTAGGTCTGGGATTACTAGGGTTGGGGTGATGAGTAGGGTTGACTGCTGCGGATGAGTGATCCGGAACTTGATCCAAGTCGGAATTATTGCCGGACCTGTCGACCAGAGACTCTGGGTCAAAGTAGTCGGACTCCTTGTTGGAGGGATGATCATCAGGATCGTTGGCAGGAGATGGGTTTGCAGGAAGAGGTGAACTGGAGCTGAGGGTGTCCACAATCTCTTGAAATACCTCAGGAGCAGTGAGATCATGGTATGACGAGGGATCAGTTGAGAAGAAAATGGAGACGCCTGGGAAGTCTGCTTTGTCAAAGGAGACATCATGGCAGCGCTCAACCTTTCCTCCCGGAAGAAGAATGCGCCAGTTGTGCATTCTCAACTGATACCCAACCATGAGACCAGTTTTTGCAGTATCACCAAATTTCCCGTCGAGCAACTTGCCAGGTATGTTGGGATACGCTTTGCAGCCAAAAGGTTGAGGTCTTGATAGATCAAAAGTCAAGTCAAACCAGAGTTTGTAAGGAGTTTTCCACTTGAGTTTGCAAACTGGAGTAATGTTTTCAAGAAACACAGCGGTGGAAACAGCCTCTCCCCAGTACTCAGCAGGAAGTCTTGCTTGCTTAAGCAAAGCTCAAGCTTTTTTGCTAGTTGTCCTGTTTCCTCTCTCAGCCACAGCGTTCTGCTGAGGAGTATAAGGTGCTGTTACGTGAATGGTAACACCTTTTTCCTTAAGGAATTGGGTGAATTCCTTGGAATTGAATTTGCCTCCCCCATCGAAAATGACATTTTTGATTGGTCTTCCATGAAGAGTAGTGACATTGACGTAATACTCAGAGAATTTTGAGAAAGTTTCCAATTTAGCCAAAAGTATATGCACATGACGATAGCAAGTAAACCAATTGGTAATTTTGAAATAATAGAGACCACCACCACAGGATGATGGAGTAATTTTTCCACTAAGATCCATATGGACTGATTCAAGAGGATGACTAGCTTCAGGAAAGTGAGAGGGAAACACAAGACAATGAGATCTTGAGAGAGAGCAGGATTTGCATTTGATTTTTGGATTTTGAATCCCAAACATTCTTCTCAACGCCTCGTTGCTACAGTGTCCGGTGCCTCTGTGGAGGAGATCAACATCAGTGATTGATGACACACGAGCCAAAGAGTTGATATGAGACTGACCTTGATGAGTAGTTGTGATGTGAATCATGCAAGTACCGCCTACAATTGAAGCTCAAAATACGACCTCTCCTTCTCTAACAAGGACAAAGGATGAGTTGCTGGTCCGCTTTATTTCACACCCCCTCTCATAGAGTCGTCCGAGGCTGATCAGTGTGGTGCTTAGTTTGGGGACGTGAAGCGCTTTGAGGGAAACAACTTGATTAGTTTTGGTGACAATGTTGACAAAGCCGCTTTCTTTGACCTCAATTGAGTTACCGTTGGCCAATTCGACCCAAGTAGATTTGGTTCAGTAGTCTTTGAACAGGCTTTTTTCGGGGAACATGTGGTGAGATGCTCCGCTGTCAAGGTAGCACATGTTGGGTGTGCTGATTGCTGTGAATGCCTTGATGGTGCAGCAAAGTCCGTTGCCGGTGGATTTTTATTCTCCACTGTCGGACTTGTCAGTGTCGTCTGCGTTGGCCACATTGGCCTTCTTGGCTAGCTGCCAAAAATCCTTCTCAGCGTGGCCTGATTTTGGATTGTGTTTTCCTCCCAAACAGAATTCTCTCTTCTTCTGTTTGGAGTTTGATGATGCCGCCATGGCGGTGTCTTTGGATTTGATTTTGACCAAAGCAAACAACGTGTCTTGTCGTTTGTTGTGGAGTGTGTCTTTAACTAGCTCAAGAGTTAAAGGCCGTTTGGAGTAAAGGAAATCCTTAGTCGCGGTGTATTTTTCAGGAAGCTTGCATACAATGGTTTCAGCAATTAACGCTTCTTTGACGTTGCAGTCGGGACCAGTGAATTTCATGCTGATGGAGGACATGATTTTGAGGTGCTCATCGACTGTTTCAAGGTAGGCTGTTAGGTCGGTTCCTTTGAAGGGAAACGTACAGATGTCATTGTACGCCTTCGATTGGTTGCCTTCAGTCTTTGCTTCATAGTGGTCTGACAAAAGTTTCCAGAGGGCAACCGGATCTTCTTCATTTTCGTTGTAAGACTCAAAAGTGGTTGTGAAACCCTTTTGCTGAATGGAGAAGGGGATGATGGAGTTGCAAGCTCTGCCCTTCTATGCTATCAGAACAACAAGACCACCAAGCTCAGCTTGGCAGTTTATATATCGTGATAGAGGATAGTTTGAGATGAAGCTGTCGAATGATACGTATAACGGTTGAAGGTGTTGATGATTGTCGTTGATGAAGTTGTTGATAGAGGTGTCGATGATAAGTGTTGAGAGTGAGGCTTGAACGCGCAACCTCGAGGTTGATGGTATATAAATTTTATGCTTTGACCAGGAATTGAACGGAGGACCAGGCACAGGTGGAGGTAAGTTGGAGTTAAGGTGGAGTTAAGATGGAGTTGAAGTGGAGTTAAAGTGGATGTCTTGAATGGGAATTGAACCCAGGTCCTTGCGGTTGGGGTGTATAAGGGCAAAAAGCAGTGGATTTCAGGCAAAGGTGAGATAGCTTAGTGGTTATGAAAAAAAGCAAATGTTGATATTTCTACACTATAAACTGTTATAATATATAAGGGGGGTTATAATTATAAAACCTCCAATACTAGGTAGCTAATAATATTGAGAAGTGACCAGTGATGTAGTGTTATGGGGGGACTGACTACAGAGCATCTGATGAAGAAGAGGATACAACTGGCTGGCAGAGGCCTCCTTATATAGACAAAAGTGAGGGAATTTAGCTCCAGGGTACATGCAGTTGAGGGAATTTAGCTGGCCTGAATATCCAATGAGGGAATTTAGCTAGTCTAGTACATGCAGGTGAGGGAATTTAGCTAGTGATAGCACAGCCTTGAGGGATTTTAGCTAGCCTACAAGGTCCTACTACAAAGGAATGCATGTGCACCAACAAAGGAATTCAATATGTAATGTGAGCTAATAAAGGAATTCAATATGAAACAAAGGAACTCAATATCCAATAAGCATCCAGTATTCAAATTGAGCTATAGTCAGAGTAAAGGATCCAAGAGATATCCTGTGATAGGTTGAAATAGGTGTAACTTCTGAACTAATAGAGATAAGGGGGTAGTTGTAGTGGGTGACTAGGGGTTATTTTACCTCAGGAATCCATTTTTGATGTTTATTTTACCTTATATCTGATGTAGAAAAAGATGAGAATAAATTTTTGTATTTTTAGCGTAGAAACACAGGAATAACTACCACATCGTCAGTAACAAATTGGTTGTAATTCTTTGTTCCCATGTTGGACAAGAGAATACCAACAGTTCTGGATCGATCGGTTGCAAACTTTTCCAAGCCTTCTGGTGAGGTTCCGGCTGGGGCAGTTGCAGTAGTGAGGTATTTCTTGAATCCAAGCTGTTGACAATATCCGAGAACCTTTTGCTTCCATATTGAGAAAGTAGTTTTTGAAAGATCTGGAAGCTGGGTTTTTTGGTCGGACATTGTTGGGAGAAGATAGCGTGTGTGTGTGTATAAAGCGCGTCGACAGAGTTAGGACTCTGGGCTCATAACCTATAGAACTTTTAGGCGCAGAGGTGTTCTTTTAAAAGAACCACGAGTGTAAGACACTAAACGAGCTGACTGAGAAGAGAGACAAACGGCGAGCACACCTATGTGCGATGGTTTGTGAGTTGAGACAGAAAAAGAAAACTGAATGAGGAAAAGAGAAAAATAGAAAAGCGGTACATGATTTACTATTTAAGCTAAGACTCATTATTTTTTGGTTAGGTTTCAACTTAAACTTTCAATAGAAAAACGGTTGCGGAGTACGTTACTAAAGAGGGAAATGCTAATATCCCCAAAAAAACTGTCAAGTTTTTATAAAAGGAGGGGCCTGAGTTACAGGGGTTGTTATGGTGCCCTCCAATGAATCAGGACCTGTTTAAACAGGGGTATTTTTTATGTACCTGATGACCTGGTCCTTTGTGAAGAAGGAGTATGCCCAGACAATGCCTACAACTGAAGTATCATGGAGATATTACCTACTTGTACTATTTCCAAGCCAAGGGGGACTTCAGGTGGGTGAAAACTGGTCTGGAAGCACTCAGAAAACTGGGTAACAGGTGGTGGGAGAGTGCTGGGGAACAGTTTATGGTTGGTTGGTTGAAATGCAGGATGAAAAACAGCAGGAACTGGTCCAAAACAGGTGAAAAAACTGGTTGTTGGAGGTGGTTATTGCTGGTAAATGGTAATGAAGATGGGGAATCAGAGTTTGGGGGCAAGAAGGGCTCCCTATATACTCATTCTGGGCCTTTGGAGGCTAACTCAGAACTCTGTTTGGCTTGTGCAAGCCTCCTACTAGTGTCAGCCTGGGTGATGCCAAGAGCTTGACTCTTCTAGCTACACCAGGTGCAAAGCTAAGAAAAAAGGTGTACAAGTGTGGGTAACACTTGGAATGTGGAGGTGTTTGATATTAAGAAAAAAAATAATAAAAACTGTTAAGTTTTCATAAAGGGAGGGGCCTGAGTTACAGGGGTTTTTATGGTGCCCTCCAATGAATCAGGACATGTTAAACAGGGTTATTTTTGATGTACCTGATGATCTGGTCTTTTTTTTAAAGGAGTATGCCCAGACAATGCCTACAACTGAAGTATCAAGGAGATATTACCTACTTGTACTATTTCCAAGCCAAGGGGGACTTCAGGTGGGTGAAAACTGGTCTGGGAGCGCTCAGAAAACTGGTTAACAGGTGTTGGAAGAGTTCTGGGGAACAGTTGATGGTTGGGTTGGTGATATCCAAGACAGAAACAGCAGGAACTGGGCCAAAAACAGGTGAAAACTGGTAGTTGGAGGTGGTTATTGCTGGTAAGTGGTAATGAACTCTTACCGATCAGAGTTTGGGGCAAGAAGTGCTCC